TGTTTGCAGGAGGTAATCATCCCACCCACCCAGGTGCTCCTACCCTACATAGGCTTACTTATTTCGCAATATTTGATTATGTCTGACTCACCATCAAGTCATTTTTTCCACGATCAGATGGAATCACGATCCAATCAAAACTTACCTTTTACATAGCGTTTACCTCAATCGACTTGTTAGTTTCATAGTTATGCCCTGAAGTGTGATTCTGAATGATGCAACTGTGCTAATGTAATGCTTTAGCTATGTCAACAACTCAACGTTGGCATTTCAACTTTTGTTAGAATTTTATATGTTTCGTTCGCAAGTTCATTTGGGATCGCGGGCAAAATCGACTGGTACATAGGTAGCATTGCAAATCTGATCTGTGGCGAAGATAGGCTTATGAACGGAAGAACTCTTGAAGAAAGCAACCTCTCATAGCTTTCGGTATACTTCGCGCATGTAACTCATTCTATGTGGCAAGCACGCTTTCAAGAAGCTGTATTAATTTTAATCGACGACTTAAACAGGTAGGTGACTTACAGGAAAAGAAATTGTTCAATAGGATCGATTGTGGTGTTCAAAACATCCGGCCCGACTTAGGAAAAGAAATAGGTTAATAGGATCGATTGTGGTGTTCAAAACATCCGGCCCATATAAATTTATCTTCTTCCTTTCAGAAAGTTCCTTTTCCCTTTTACTAGTGATGCCAGGTTACATAACGATTCTAGAAACATCGGAGGACGTGGAGCATAAAAAAGGGGTAGCATTAGCATTATGGGTGCTATGGCCTTACCCAAGGCAATTGGTAGAGAGGGACTTTGAATTGTGGCGTAATCCACCCTACAACCAATTCCAACAGCAGAAGGCGAAGCATGTTGGTCAATTCTGCTTTGAGATGAGTCATGTGTCGATCATAACGTGGAGCGCTTGAATGAAAAGGTTTTTGACATTAAATGCTGAACTGATATGTCATGAAAACAGGCAACAAGTAGTGTCCGTACTTTTCCAATGAAGCGCTCATCACATTGATTGACAACACCGCAACAACGCAAAATCCTGGCTAGGGAACATCAAATGCACGTCCTTCCCTCATCCTTTCAATGACTTTAAATGGTAGACGAGTACATACACATACACTGTACACATAAAAAACTGAGAATTTGCCAACCCCGGTGCTCCTTACCTCATGAGGCTTAGTCAAAACTTGCATATCCTTGATGTAACACGGAGTAACCGTGTTAAATCCATGATGTACTAATACTGTTATGCGTGGCATCCCCGTGGCANCCCCCCCCCCCCCCCCCACATCCCCTCCCAACTACATTTTTACCAACTTCTGTCTATTTAAATATTATGCCATCCCAGCTCTTCCACATTTTCAATTCTTTTTTTGCAAATTGTTTACCTATCTACCACGATTCATCTAGACTTCAAGGCACGGATCACGAGGTTTCTGAAACATCTAGCTAGCTATAGTGGAATAATGGAAGTTAGGGTGCAGAATGGGGCATGGTAGTTTTGGAGCCCTCTTAGCGCCCTGTCGAAATCGTTTGTCGACTCGACAGTGTCCCACGTGATACCCGTGGAAGCCACTGTCCATCCTGAAGGAAACCTCAGCAACCATTTCACTCATGAGCTGTGCCTCCAACTCAGTGCAACATAGTGATACTGTTAATCGACAGATCTTCTCACAATGATGGAAACAAGGCTCGATCACGTTGACCTAACACCATTCAATACCAAGCCTCGATCCCATCCCCTCCACATCCCCACTCCTCTCACGAAATCAGCGCTGTTTTGTGTTTCCCAGCTCGTGCAAACAGTCAAATACAAATGCACATTTCGATGACGTGAAAAACTAATCAAACTGGTAATATTAGACCCTTATGGTACAAGTGTTTGATACGGCAGTGCACACGCCGTGTGCTTTAAAGGAACCGCACTGAAGGCAGAAGTGAACGCGTTATCATGTCGAGATGTTTTCGTGAACACTTAATCAGTGTTGATTAAATTAATGGTGGTCTTTTTCAGTTTATTCAAGCAGTGCTATCGATTGTAAGCAAAAATGAGCAGTGGAGCGAAACAATATATGCCGGTGAACCGACTTGGTGAGAATTTTCATAGAATTTTATTGCTAAAGAAATGGTAAACATTCTTCTGTTTACCATTCCTTTTATGGATCTTCGCTACCTGGAAGGAGCAGAACATTTGACGCAAGAATGGCAAAGTCCGTTTTCAAAAATTTCAATATCATCGAATGGTTGTCACTAAGAAAGCATCTCAACAGTTTATTCACTTGATCTGCAAAATCAGAATGAACGTTTTAATTATACTGCGTTTGTGATAGCTAAGAAAAAGCTTCTTACTACGGCCTGCAGAAGCCGAACTAAGAATGTTACCTACACGTAGCTCGTCATTACCTTCATGAAAATTGTGACTATTAGGCATCCGCACATTGCTCACTTTATCTTACACAGAACATTCCTCCCTTATTTCATTAGATAACAATTATTTTCCGGAGGAGCAGGATCACGTTACTGTTACCGTTACCTCTGAAAAAGTGCTCACTTTACATATGTATATAAGTAGCTCCTGAATCGCTTCTCTGATAGCGCACATTCCGACAGCTTCTTTTGGTAGCCCGGCATTCGGTTAGTTGATCTTCTGGGAGGTCTCTTTTTTGCGGTTGGCAGTGACCCTCTCAATCACTTGACCTATTCTCTGACAACACCGTTTCGAGAAATACTTCTATTCTATCCTGATGAACACCCTGAAAGTACCCAAATTTTCGAAATATTTTCAGCAATGGGAATCATTAACAACAACCACATTTTGAGCAAGATATCAAAAAGTGATCCCGATGTACCACAGAGCCACGATCCCGTGATGCGAACTATTGAGTGAGTATTTGTCTCACACGAAAATGAGATAGTTCCCTACCGAAAATGAGATCTCTTTCAGCCCTCGATCTTATGACGATCTTCTGATGGTTGCCGATTCTATTAGAAGCCGAGTTGGTGAAAAAGCCAACGTCGAAGTAGGAATTATCTGTGGTTCCGGACTTGGGCCTATTGGGGATCAGGTAGAAGACGCGTTTGTTCTACCGTATGAGAAGATTCCCGGATTTCCATCTGTGAAAGGTATGACAAATTTTCTTCTTCTTAACCTGCAGCCTATCTGAAGTATGCTTATGCAAGAGACTCATACTTACAATTAGTCGGCTGGGTAACGAGTCATCTTGCATTCTGCCACGTTGGTGCACGTAATTTTACATTAATAACAATCTCTTGACTATACCGCAGTTGTGCGAGGATAGAAGTTTGCTCAGAAGCGCTACGCTTTACTACTCTGACACATCGATCATTTTCCCGATAGGGCGGCATGCGGGAAAGGTCACAGGTCGCTATATCGTGGCAGATCAAGTAGTTTTCAAGGGTATATGCTCAACAAAACTGTGAGCATGTACCGATATATGATTCAGTATTAACATCGCCAGGGAATTTGAAATCTCACCGAACCCATCATATGACCCTACCGTCTGAGAATAGAAAACTGTCCCTCGAAAGGGTTTCGCAGGTGAATAAGTTTTAGGCTTGTCTTTGAAATTTGCTACTTTGCCCCACAGTGTACGTAAGAATAAATGGAAATGCTTTTTTTTGTTCGGTTCCACTTCATCCTTAGTCCGTCCTCCACCGTGCGGAGCGAACAAGAGTAGTCAAAAATACAAAGGAATGGAAGATGAATGCAATAAAGTACGTGGTAAAAGTAAAAAGATAGAGTTTTCGGCTTCATTAAGTCCCGAAAGTTGCGATGTGCCCGATTTGACTTCCATGCTGGATCGTATTCTCCGATAGAACGCTTGTGCGCCCTAGACAATGACTTACAGTGGCCAGTCAATGTACGAGTCAGCTGCCCTTCGTTACGCGCGCCCGTCGAAATTAGGCTACGCCGCACCGTCGCACGCGGCGCATCAGCCGCAGATCTTGACGGACATCGCAGTTGTCAGCGGAGCTTAAGAGAAGAGTTCAGTTAGCCTAAAAAAATACATTGCGCCCTAGTGTGAATCATTCGCTTCACTGCCAATTTGTGGTACTATTATGCCAACCAGAGATTGCAAAGCGCTAGGCCTCGCGCGGAGTGGCGGGGGGAAGTTTCAACGGACGCGAGGAACGGACGCTCCCTGGCTGGCCCAGGCAAGTATAGATACAAGGTTGCCGTTCCCCTAGACCCTGGTTGTTTGGTGGTGCGCCACTTGCCACTGCACCAGCTTCTGAAGAAGGTGGTATTGATAAAAAGAGATGAATAAATACGCAGATGGAAGAAATGTTCTTGGTGCCGATTAGCTGTGCGGTTATTTCGAAGGGAGGGGTCTGAAAGCATCTGAAAACCTCATTACTCGATGACTTGAATACTTACATAGGATTTGTATAATTCGCTTCTCTCAAATGCGCTAAGGGTCTACTTGTCAGTTGAGGTCGAAATTCTCTTCATTTACTTCTATAGTGAAAACTTCTCGGCAAGAAAAATGCATCGATGTAGAACCCAAGTATTGAGAGAGTTAGTTGAATCTGAAGCTGATGAATTAGTGATTTTGACCATCCTACCTTTTTTGAACTTAGTCCTTCAAACTCCAGATATTTGTTCCCATCCTTAACCATTTTAGTCGTTGGACACAAAGGCAATCTGATATTCGGACGCATAGGAGGAAAGAAAGTTGTTTGCATGCAGGGCCGTTTCCATCCTTACGAGCACGAAATGGACTTAGCCCTCGTACGTGACAGTTCACTTTGCAGTTTGTTGGATTTTAAACCAACTCATAGAACCTTTCTGTGAACTCAACGTCAACTCAAATAATGATGCCCTGTATCCCTCTTTTGCAGTGTGCGTTTCCAGTCAGGGTAATGCACCAACTTGGTGTCAAGCGACTGGTAGTATCAAATGCCGCAGGAGGAGTTAACCCAAACTTCAAATATGGGGACCTCATGCTCATAAAGGTAAATAATTCAAGCAATGGTACAGAAACACATGCCACAGTTGATATGAATTCTTCAAGGGAGATTGTTGCAGGACCACATATTTATGCCAGGTCTCGCTGGTTTTTCTCCACTTGTAGGCTTGAATGATGGACGTTTCGGACCACGCTTCGTTTCCGTTCACGATGCCTACGACAAAAACCTAAGGTATGCTAAATGTTCTGTTCTTTCCAAAGCATGGAAAAGAAAGCACAGTAGAAACCCGATTATTTGGGAAAGGCAACGTGCTGATGGAAGCGCATTCTCTCTTATTTTACATTAAATACTGGACTTGAGTGACGTTGGATCATTCCATCAGTTTCATATAGGTATTTCATATGTAAAAAATATGTTCCTCTTACTACTGCTCTGTTTTAGGGCGCTCGCGAAAGAGATCGCAAAGAAGCATAACATTCAACTACAGGAGGGAGTTTACGTGATGAATGGAGGTCCACAATATGAATCTCCAGCAGAGGTACGTTACTTCAGCGTACTCCTGAGTATTGACGACAGTTGATAGTTGTTAGCGTTTAAGAACTATGTTCTGAACTTTTAAATGAATTTTTTGAGTTCAGATAATATTTTCACCCACCTTTCTAGTGAATGACAGCAAGACTGCTATTTCATAGGTCAATAGCTGTAAATTCATTGTGTTTCGTCAATTTTAAGAAAGCCCAACTTGTGTGGAAAATCGGAAAGAGTCATTGCTTTATTGAACAGGACCCGAGCCACGATATAAGCAATGGGAAGGAAATACTCGAATTTCGTGTTCCACCCTGAAAAAAATCCGTCGTTCTTTCCATTGGTAGGATGGAGAAACAAAGGGCATAGACAAAATTTCCCGTGCTGGTATTACGACAACTTCGATGACATCACTCGCTCGGCCTCGTTTGCATACCCATCAATCATAGAGTTTCGGTTTATTTCATCGTAACGTATAGGTATAGTTGCCAAGCGTTATTAATAAATAAAAACACAACTCATATACACAAATAAAAAGTATAAAACACAATGGAAACTTTCCCAATCTACACGTTTTGAGTTCTGGCGAAAAAGGGCATTAATTCTCTGTCTATCTATTATGAGACTGCTCCTTACATATCATTCTCGGATTTAGTTCTTATTCTGATTGTGAGATGAATTCTCGGGAGGATGGCAAACTGCGTTGCGGATGAGAGGATAGAGAGAGGCTTGTTGGCCTAGCGTTGCTTCTTGTTGTCGACAGTTGTTTGTCGTACTGCTGGAAAAACGTCATATCAAAAGTGATCTGAATTCTCTATGCAATAACCTGCGCTCAGCCGGCTGGTGATGAAGGTCGAGGCAGGAATAGAGGAATACGTCGCTGACTCAAAGTCGTCGGTACTTACCCAACGATGCAGGTATACTCAGGACGGACTCCAAGTTTATGCTGCGTGGGGTTGTGTACCTTCTGTATCAATACTTGCGTGTGCAGTCTGAGTGGCTGGTGTTCCGAACACTTAATCAGCCAAAACCTCGACTGCCAGTGACTGGGAAGTATACTTTGGTTGGGTACATAATGTAAAAGTTAATAGTTGTCATCCAAGTTCGGCACAGCAGTAGAAAAACCGGCTTCTTATCGCATAACCATTAAAGTTTTTTGCGTCTGGTAACATGATTGCGTCTTCTAAAAGATATGAATTGGGAAGGTAGTTCCTCGATTTTATGATAGCGTGATAAGAACAGTTTCATGATAAGAACGATGACGAAAAAGAGGGCGAACATTGAAATTCAGCTAACATCATGAATGACCAACCTTCAATGGAAATACATTAATTCCTCTTTTCGAGTTTCATCGAGAAGGCACATTGCTTTCGTAAATGGGGTGCTTATATCGGCCGTGATACGAAAACGCTGGAAATCTCAGTTTCAAATCCGAGCAATCATCAATTTTTTTCGTAAAGACAGCAAGAAACAAATGGTAACCGGACGGAGCAAGATCTGACGAATAAGAAGGATGGAGCAGCACATCCCAACCAAGTTTGGCAATTTTATTTCGCAACAGGCAGTCAAACGTCATCGTGAAGAAGACAAACTTTCCCTCTCCGCGGACGCTCCTTTTGAATAAAGTGGGCCGAATCCTTCTGCTGAGAAGCTTAAATATCAGCGGTCACGGTGGATTTCTGAGAAGTGATTTGAAGTAGAACATTTGCTTAGCCAAACCTCCTCGGGTGTAGTCCACTTCTCTGCTCTCTTGAAGGTGCATTCTGACGAGGCACCCGTGGGCTTAGATACGATGTCTCTTCTGAATGCGCCACAGATAGTTGTGATACCTGTCGTTGGATAAGCCCTTACAGAAATTCGTAGCAGACCATAGCTCTCACAATCATACAGCTTCGGTCGACAGTTGAAGTTAGAGTCATAATTACAAAATACTTCCAAGGGCATGCCTATACCATATCCCGGTGTCTACCATAACCTATTACGAAATTCATCCGAATAGCCCCTCACAAAAATTTGGAACGGGATGAAATACCGATCAAAACTTTCTACTCAACCTGAATTTTTCGTAAAAATCTTCGACTGCCGTTTCAAGTTTTCGGTAAACTCTGCGAAAGTCTTATGCCCTATGTACCAGCTGGCATCATATTGCTCTGCTTTTTTACATTTCGGTAATGAGAAGTTAAAGCATTCGCCCGCGACAGCAGTTTGATCGCTTCACCCAAGTAGTGGCGTAACCTCCCATCCACCTCTTTGTCAGTTGTCTCGTTGTGTAAAATGTCTTAGTGAATGATTTTCTTTCGTTATTTTTCATTCCGCATGTCTTTGAGGTGTAACAAAGAAAGTTGGAAATTTTATGACTTATTTGAATGATCAATTATGTTGACTTTAGTTGACAGCCGGTTATTACAGAGTGAGATAATATGCAATTCTCCCAGAATCTTTCTACTTGCATCACGTGGCAAATGGTTTCAGGTGGCGATGTTGAAAATGGTTGGAGCAGATGCTTTGGGAATGTCTACATGTCACGAGGTCACGGTAGCTCAACAATGCGGAATCAAAGTGCTCGGCTTCTCCCTCATCACTAACATGTAAGTTTCTACCATGGCAGCAGTATTATAATAATTAGTTAGGATCCAGCAGCAGTTGTCTACAATTGCAGTGCCAATACCAACGTCGATAATGCAGTAGTCGTTTCACATGAGGAAGTGCTACAAACGGCAAAAGACGCTGGCGATCGTGCTTCAAAATTCGTCAAAGAAATCATAGGCCAATTTCCTTCGGAATGATCCTATCCATCGATTTTCAGTGCAGCATATCAGACTCAACCCTATCGATTACAATTTTCGACCTTCAAATTTGTTTTCGACATTACCACATTTATGTGTACATAATAATTGAAGTGCCAGTAATCGCATAAGTTCTAGTGGAAAGGCATGTTCGCGTTTCTCGACGAAGTTGATAAAAATGGGGTAACCTTGTTGGACCGCCACTCCACTCGTTGTGTAGTATTACGTCCCTCCGATTTTTATACTGATTGTGCTTGCATAAATGTGAACCAATTCCAATTCGTGTACATAAGTATAGAGAATAAGCCATAAACAATCAATTTGTGCAATAGGAATAGGAGATGTTTAAGCCGGCTTACCCTCTGTTACCAATGCTGATCAGATTCGCAAAGCTCGTGTTACCTCATGTAACACAAGATAGAAGCAGTGAGGGACCATCTTCAGCGTTTGGGCTTCGTCGAAGCCTACGGTGTTCTCTAACTGATAGCCAGTTCAAAGCAGCTAGAAGAACAGGAATGAATTATTGGGTTGTCCGAGAAGTTTTCGCCGATTTTTGACACCCCGGATTTATCAACCGTTGTTTTCTGAAAGAGCAGGTCCTCCTCTATATTCATGTTGGGCCTCTGTCAACATTTGTCGAAGTTTCTCTGTACAGGGCTCGTATGAAAATGGAGAACCACTGCGCGCATTCTCGACATCTGAAGTATTTCCTCTATCGCAAGGCCTAGAATGCTGCTCAAGCCGCATGAAAGACATATGACGTTTG